TATATGCCAGAAGATATGTCAGATAGAATGCCAGAAGATATGTCAGAGTATATGCCAGAAGATATGCCAGATAGAATGCCAGATTGAATGCCAGAAGATATGTCAGATTGAATGCCAGAAGATATGCCAGATAGAATGCCAGAAGATTTGCCAGATAGAATGCCAGAAGATTTGCCAGATAGAATGCCAGAAGATATGCCAGATCATATGCCAGAAGATATGTCAAATAGAATGCCAAATAAAATGTCAGAAGATATGTCAGAAGAGCGGTTGAGGTCCGGCAGGGAACACTGGGCGCGGATGGTCGCGGTTGAGGTCCGGCAGGGAACACTGGGCGCGGATGGCCGTGGTTGAGGTCCGGCAGGGAACACTGGGCGCGGATGGTCGTGGTTGAGGTCCGGCAGGGAACACTGGGCGTGGATGGTCGTGGTTGAGGTCCGGCAGGGAACACTGGGCGAGGATGGTCGTGGTTGAGGTCCGGCAGGGAACATTGGGCGTGGATGGTCGTGGTTGAGGTCCGGCAGGGAACACTGGGCTATGGATGGTCGTGGTTGAGGTCCGGCAGAGAACACTGTGGATCGCGGGTCGCAGTTGAGCAAGGACGACGAGGACGACGAGGACGACGAGGAGGACGAGGAGGAGGAGGAGAGGAGGAGGAGGAGCAGGAGGAGGAGCAGGAGGAGGAGGCAACTGACATAAAATCTAACAACCCTCACCTGGCAGGTGGGGAAAAAGGAGCAAGGAAGGCATAGGTATATATATATATATATATCACCAGTGGCTCCTGTTTCAAGGCCCTCTGTTGGCGGTAGTGGTAGTGGTAGTGGTAGTGGTAGTGGTAGTGGTGGTGGTGGTGGTGGTGGTGGTGGTGGTGGTGTTAACCTAGCCTCTGAAAATGTGGCATCACAGTATTGCACGCCTGGCTACATCTTGGAAGACTTCAGAGTTGCCGTGGTCCATCTACTTTTTAAACATGGCTGACTATCAAAAGAATTCAAAAGGTCACCTCCTCCTGGGGCAGATAGCCAAGGTGGCACGCGCACAGGTTCCGGAAATCCTGATGCATGCTGCATTTTATGATGTCTTTTCAATGTGCAATCAATATGTTTGCGACGATCTTGGAAGACTTAAGAATTGCCGTGGTCCATCTACTCTTTTCGACATGGCTGACTACCAAACGAATTCAAAAAAGGCCACCTCCTCCTGAGGCAGATAGCCAAGGTGGCACGCCCACAGGTCCCGGAACTCCTGATGCATGCTGCATTTTATGGCGCCTATCAATGTGCAATCAATATGTTTGAGACCATCTTGGCAGACTTCAGAATTGCCGTGGTCCATCTACTTTTTTAAACATGGCTGACTATCAAAAGAATTCAAAAAGGTCACCTCCTCCTGGGGCAGATAGCCAAGGTGGCACGCGCACAGGTTCCGGAACTCCTGATGCATGCTGCATTTTGTGACTTCTTTTCAATTCAATGTGCAGCCCAATATGTTTGAGACCATCTTGGAAGACTTAAGAATTGCCGTGGTCCATCTACTCTTTTAAGCATGGCTGACTATCGAAAGAATTCGAAAAGGTCACCTCCTGGGACACAAAGTCAAGGTGGCACGCCCACAGGTTCCGGAACTCCTGATGCATCCTGCTTCTTTTCAATGTGCAACCCAATATGTTTGAGACAATTTTGGGAGTGGAAGACTTAAGAATTGCCGTGGTCCATCCACCTTTTTAAACATGGCTGACTATCAAAGATTTTCAAAAAGGTCGCCTCCTCCTGGGGCAGATAGCCAAGGTGGCACGCCCACAGGTCCCGGAACTCCTGATGCATGCTGCATTTTATGACGTCTTTTCAATGTGCAATCAATATGTTTGAGACCACCTTGGAAGACTTAAGAATTTCCGTGGTCCATCTATCTTTTTTAAACATGGCTGACTATCAAAAGAATTCAACTAGACGACGGATGGCGAGCGTAGAGGAGCAGGGTCTTCTCTTGTTAGTATGGAGACACCATATTACAAACCAATATATTAAAGATGTGTTATAGGCAGACGAGAAGAGGAGTATCCAGACAATATAGCACAAGTACAAGACAATAGTTTGCATCGCAAACACTTTTACACACAGAAGCTTTTACACACAGATGCTTTTACACAAAGAAATTTTCACACACAGACGCTTTTACACAAAGAAGCTTTTACGCACAGATGCTTTTACACAAAGACGCTTTTACACGCAGACGCTTTTACACACAGGCACTTTTACACACAGACACTTTTACACACAGGCGCTTTTACACACAGACAGTTTTACACACAGAAGCTTTTACACACAGATGCTTTTACACAGACGCTTTTACACACAAAAGCTTTTACCCAAAGAAGCTTTTACACACAGAAGCTTTTACACACATACGCTTTTACACACAAAATCACAAAAGCTTTTACACACAGACGCTTTTACACACAGAAGCTTTTACACACAGACACTTTTACACGCAGACCCTTTTACACACAGGAGCTTTTACACACAGACGCTTTTACACAAAGAAGCTTTTACACACAGAAGCTTTTACACACAGACGCTTTTACACACAGACGGTTTTACACACAGACACTTTTACACACAAACACTTTTACACACAAACACTTTTACACGCAGACGCTTTTACACACAGACGCTTTAGACACAGAAGCTTTTACACACAGAGACTTTTACACGTAGACCCTTTTACACTCAGGAGCTTTTACACGCAGAAGCTTTTACACGCAGACGCTTTTACACACAGAAGCTTTTAGACACAGAGACTTTTACACGCAGGCCCTTTTACGCACAGACACTTTTGCACACAAGAGCTTTTACACACAGACGCTTTTACACACAGACACTTTTACACACAAACACTTCTACACACAGAAACTTTTACACACAGACGCTTTTACACATAGAAGCTTTTACACACAGACCCTTTCACACACAGACGCTTTTACACACAGAAGCTTTTTTACACAGACCCTTTTACACACAGAAGCTTTTACACACAGATGCTTTTACACAAAGAAATTTTCACACACGGACGCTTTTACACAAAGAAGCTTTTACGCACAGATGCTTTTACACAAAGGCGCTTTTACACGCAGACGCTTTTACACATAGACGCTTTTACACACAGACGCTTTTACACATGGCACAGACGCTTTTACACACAAACACTTTTACACACAGACACTTTTGCACACAAAAGCTTTTACACACAGACGCTTTTACACACAAACACTTTTACACACAAACACTTTTACACACAGAAACTTTTACACACAGACACTTTTGCACACAGAAGCTTTTACACACAGATGCTTTTACACAAAGAAATTTTCACACACAGACGCTTTTACACAAAGAAGCTTTTACGCACAGATGCTTTTACACAAAGACGCTTTTACACGCAGACGCTTTTACACACAGGCACTTTTACACACAGACGCTTTTACACACAGACGCCTTTACACACAGAGGCTTTTACACACAGACCCTTTTACACACAGACCCTTTTACACACAGACCCTTTTACACACTTCGCCGGACAACCTGGAAATCGCAATTTTACCTCTGTTTTGGCGATCGAACCTCATTTCATGCGAAAGGGCCGCGATTGGACAAGAGAAATTGCAATTCACCTCAGTTTTTGGCGATCGAACCTCGTTTCGTGCGAAAGGGTTGCGATTGGACCGTTGAAATCGCAATTTTACTCCAGTTTTTGGCGATCGAACCTCGTTTCGTGCGAAAGGGTTGCGCCGGACACCTTCAAATCGCATTTTTACCTCAGTTTTTGCCACAAAACCCTCACGTTTTGCTCACTTTCGACAAGGTGCACAATCCCCTTGCGCCTGCCACGCGAAACGAGATCTGAACGTCCAAAGTGGTCCGTACATGGTGTGCTTTGTACATTTTGACTTCGAAATGTGCTTCGCGCCACAACGGCGTGCAATTTTTCATCTCTCATCTGGCTAGATGGCTCCGCACCCGCCGCTTTAGCGAGCCTACTTTTCGACCCTCCGGAGCCTCAAATCATTGGAAAAACACAGTGTTTCGCGACTTTCCTACGCTCTTGCAGTAACGCTCACGGCAACGTTGCTATGCTCTTGCAGCATGATGCTCACGGGAACGTTGCTACGCTCTTGCAGTAGCGCTCACGGAAACGTTGCTATGCTCTTGCAGCATCACGCTCATGGGAACGCTGCTACGCTCTTGCAGTAATGCTCATGTTATCTGGGGTAGGTTCTTGCAGTAATGCCAACTCCACCTCGTTACCTCGTTTAAGCTCGCTCCAAATTATGCAGATGCCTGCAATACAAAACTAAGAATGCCCTAAGAATTTGAGGGACCCTCGGCCTGTTGTGGTGTAAATTTGCCTGTATTAAAAAATAAGAATTTGAGGGACCCTGGACCTCAAGCTTTAGGATTCTTAACCAGCGCTCGGGCTGTAGTCTATGAATCGCAGATATTCATAGCTATATTTAGCTCATTTCATGACGCCAAGAGCACAGTCTTCCCAGATTGCCAAACATTGGCACTCAAAAAGCTGCAAATGAATGCAAATAGAGGCCTTCAGAGTACCCAAACTCATGGCAATGATGGATATTGGCGATTAACGGACATGAACCCTATCTGGCCACCTGTCTCTTGAATACAATGGAGAATGCAAGCAAGTTGCTGGTCTTGTTGCAAAGGCTGCCCGCAGGGTCTCTATGGGTTTGCCTATCAATGGTAAACCAATCAAAGGCAGCTTGTGTACGATTGCAGGATGTGTGGATGATCCCAATAGATCATCAGCTTCTTCACAGGGAAAGCTGAACACATGAAACTTCTACCCTAACTTGATGTATCCCTCGGTAGAAATATGTTTGCTCATTTGAGAAAACGCAGCCGCTTTCAATCAAACCATTGTCTGAGAACTGCCCCGGCAAAAAACCTGTTTGTGCCCTTTTTACATCTTTTTACATGTTTCGTTTTTGTTTGCGAATGAGCAGAAATTGCAGTATCATTGTGAAGGCCCAAGACGCACCACGTCCAAGAGCACATGGGCAAGTCAAATGATGTCAAATGCTTGATTTCACTATTTCGCTTTTTTCCCAACTACTGCGCAAAGGTCAGCCTTCAAATCAACACCCATCGGACCATCGTTGCTCAGCAACCAATTGGGCCTCCATGTTCCAAAAGCCATGTCTTGTGACATTACGAGACTTCAGGGCATAGAGTCGTTTGCTTGAAGCAAACAACAACTTGGCATTTACACGTTGAAATAAGGCCTTGATGAAGCTTCGTACCCCTTAGGGGTCCAAAATCAAACGCTTTCAGTTGCGAATGCAGCCACTGGCAGTCGACCGACTGCTCATTGGAGACATGTTGTTCTTCTCCAAGAGTTTCACGTCTTCTTCAGTCAAAGTCAGCCCCTGAGGGTCTTCCATGTTGAAGTCATCCTCACAGTCACTCTCGTTCTCATCCGTGTCGGACTCAGAGTCGAAGCATGCGTTTTTGCGGAAATTTCGGTAGCCCGCTGACGGAGGCTGTGGACTAGGCACTTTTTTCAAGCGCTGTCGCTCGGAGTTGTAGATGCAGTGAGCACGCACTGCAAACCCCACGTTGAAGACACCAAAGAGCACACCTTATCACATCAGCAAATGGGCAAAGCTACATGCACTGATGGGCCACATTTACTTTTCAGTAGGTTGCTATCCCCAGTTACAATCCCACATGTCCGGAAAGAGTGGGCACAGTACATAACCCTACTTACATCTGGTGGTCAATGCGGGCCCCATGTGAATGGCTTGAAGCTGAGCCGCTGAAAATGACGCAGACCTTGGGTTGGTTTCCCTTCACAAAACAATTCTCCAAGACCATCGCCAGTAGAAAGGCCCAGCAAACAAGGACGTACCAATCCAGCATGGTGTTGTAGCTGATCCTTGGCACCTGAATAGCTGGTGTTCATCGAGGGGCAAACTATATTTGAATACTAAATATAGATCGTTTTCTAATGCGTTCTACCAGTATCTTCTGAATTCATTTTCTTTATTCTTTGTTGACCTTGATCGCAGCACAGTCGAGTCACCATCTCTGCCACAAGGTACTTGTAGGCCACTGCTGTCAGCAACAATGTCAAGGTAGCCCCCAGTCGCCCACCCATATCATGGGAGACTGCCAGCGACGAGGCACTTGCGAGAACGATGGAAGCCACAGGCAAGATCACATTGACCAAGTAGAACCTGACTGGACATTTCATTTATACAAGGTGGTCCCGAAAGGATAGAGGATATGCCATGATATGCCCAATAGATTCCCCTGTCATGGTCGATTTGTCAATGAGAAAAATAATCTAAATCATCGGCAAATCCAAGCGTTTGGTGAAATTCCAGGCGTCAGTGCACCAGGGGGTGATAAACATAGCGTCGTTGACCATATTTGGAGCTTAGCTAAACATAGCCAAACTATTTGATTATATGGTGGATGTGTCTGAAAATGAGGAAATATTGATTGGAAAAATGATGACCACCATCTGGTCTGGGGGGTGCCCTATTTTCATACAAACCCGAATAATGAAGATTAATGAAGTGTGACTTGAAGTAGTTTCTTGAGTTTTTGAGCTCAACAAACACTCCAGCTAGTCGAGGAATCAACAAAAATCGCAGCCTCGATCCCTTTTCGAAGCTGACATGTTCAATCTTCTTTCCATACAGTATCCATCAGAAACCAACAAACAGTCCAACAAAAATCATCCAACTGCTGTGCCAGGCAGCTTTGGTTTTCGTCCCACTTGACATCGGATGCGAATCAGCGGGAACTGCTCTAATTTCTCGCCCTTTGTCTTGGTGAATCCAAACTGGACATCCACAGCCTCCGGCTGAGTCCACGCATTTTTCAGGCAGAAAACGTTGAGGAAAACCTGCGGCGGGCGTGTCCAACCATGTCCAAAGGTGTGCATGTTCCACTGGCTCCCCGAAGGTGTACTCTGAAGAGTTTTGTTTGATCGTGAGCAGTGGTTTGAAACCCAAATCAAATCTACACATAACTACACTATAAACTCGAAATACAACCTCAAGATCCTCAAGACTAACAAACAAGTCGTGCTCGTTACTGTCATAGAAAACATAGCTACTGTAGTCCCAAAGGGATCACGGAAAATGGGCCAAACTCATCACCCGAAATGGGTGATCTGCCTCTGGCGGGTTGGGGTGACCCAAACCCCACACCTCAGACTTGCCCGCGTCGATGAAGCGCACTTGTACCCTATCATCTTTGCAAGGCCTTAGTAGTGACCCTTGGAAGGATCTACACCGACAGGGGCCACATGCGTTGTAGCTAGTGGGGTCCTAGACACTCATAGTCCTTTGGAAAAAATTGTAAAAGTACCACCATTTATAGAGCAACATACCCATTTTTTCCAGGTCAATGGAATTTCACTTCCATGGTTTCATTTCATCTTTGCGCCCGGGCTCTAAGGTTCTGCCTGTAATGTGATTCACTACTCACGGCCTTGAAGCACAGCAAGTCGTGAGACTCAGTACCATTTTCTTTAGTACCTTAGCTTAAACCATCAAAACCCTGGTACTCCTCTGTTCACACCAAGATAGCTGGCAAATGCAAGTTCATCACCCCAATACATAGTCTTTAAACGCATTACATATATATATATACACACACACACTATATTTGATCCATAGCTATTTCTCCCAACATAAAAACTGCTCAATCCCAGAATTGGAAGGACAATCTGACAATCCCAACCAGAAACTCATATATCAGGGGATAAAATCCCGCCAGTTTCCGGATTTTTCACAAGAAAACCACTCCATTCAAAATTTTATTGATCATTTCTTGATGATCCCACCCTATCCCCGTGTATTCCCAATAGGTTTAATCTTTAAGTTTCACCATCCCAAACGTGTCGAAAAAGGCACCATCCAAAGCGGATCATCACAGTGAGATCCTGGACGTCGAAGGGAAAGTTCTGCAGCTCCAACTCTTCGCCGAACTCCCCATGGATGAGCCACACAAATTGCAGCGGCGCTTTTCGTACAGGGTCTTGCCTGGCGAACCGTCGGGGGAAAGAAAAATCGTTGGGGATTCCAAGAAAAACGCAAAATTAGTGATTAGATTATGTCATATGTCTTATGTCTCCTATTCTGATATTGATATACGCAATATTTTTGGTTGGGAATCCGGGAATCCGATATTCCATGTAAGAAGCACCTCTTGCAGCCTGCTGGATGCTCATTTCAATCATCCCCAAACAATGGCAATTTGAATCTCCCAAGCAATTTGAATCTCCCAAGGTTTTGTATCACTGTATCACTTTGGTCATTGTAGTCTGTACAGTCTATACTGACCACGTTGTCACCAAGAAACCGCAAGGTAGGGAGACTATGACGACCTGTTCAATCATCATTCTTCTCTGTTTTACAGGTCAACCAACCTGAAACTATCAGCAATCGCGCTTGTTTTGCTTGAGCCATGAACACAACGTATATGATGAATTAAGCTAGTATGCACAGGGATATATACTACAAACACCCCCGCCGTCCGCAGTTGCGCGGAGGTCGGAAGGAGAAGCCCGCCAGAAGTGACCTGAGAGCGGGCAAAGGCAGACATCACTGTACAAATCACTATCATCATTTTGTGAAAATGTGGTCAATGTTCGGGTGCATGAGGCAAAATAGAGGTTCGGATGCAATGCATTTTCAATCCGGGCATAGCACGTGCTTGAAAGATACAAAAGTGAAGTTGGCCTGGCTTCCGCCAAGGCATAGGAACAATACCATTCCTTTCTGTTGCCATTGGTTTCGGAAACTGCTATATCAGGCTAACCTACACGTGTCAAACTCTTTTGAAGCAATTGGGAGAAGTTTTTGATTGGAAATGTTCATCTTTGAGTTGAGTTGAAATCGATTGAACTGAATGACCATAGGTCAACTTCATCCAATCGGCCACACCTTCCGGCAGGCAGAAAATCGCAGCACATAAAGGTGAAACACCTACCACGATTCATATTCTACCGAGCCATCATTATAGGTGCGCTTGAAGTGCGGCATGCCATTGATCTCGCAGTACTCTTCGCTGACCATAAGTGGCATGCGTGGTACCTGCTGAGTCCTCTCCGTCGTCGCTGCTGAGCCAGTGGCTTCTGCTGCAGGATCTGGTGCCGTGTTGGCCGTAGAGTCAGGCATTGGTGCAGCCGTTGATGGAGGTCGTGCAGGCTCGGGCGGCGGAGCAGCGGAGCTGGATGCTGTCGATCGCCCCCAATCATCTCCCCAACCTTGGCCCTGATAGCCCCGTCTCCAATTCCAACGTCCCCATTGGGCCTGCCCTCCCGAGCGGCTTGAATAGGATCCAGATGAACCCCAATCTTATCGCCGAGACCAGCCACTGCGGCACTCAAAGGATCTGTGGCCATACTGCCCGCAATTCCAGCAGTCAACTGCCTGCTGGAAGGTGGGCCTCTGCTGACCATACCCTTTTCCTTTGCCAGCCCGATTGATGGGGTCAAAACTTCGTCTGTACCCCTCACGGCCCTCCCCAGTTCCTGTCCTCGAAGATCTTGCCAAAGGGAACTCAGCCACATCAGTTGCAGTAGCCTCTTCCTCGAATGAGTACTCAGGCCCCTTGATGTTGTGGTACTGCTCGTTCCACTGGCGCTTTGCGAAGTCGACGAGGTCAAAGAAGCAATCCTGCGATGTCTGTTGATCGACCGCAAAACAGAGCCAGCCCATCCATGCAACATCGGCGTGGGTTCCCCCCTCGCTTTCAAAAGATCAGCAGCCAGTACCGCAAACTGCGGCAATGTGAACAGGCGTGCATGGTGTGCAATCATGGCTTCCTTTGTGACATCAAGCGCAAGACGAATGTCTCTTGCAAAGTCTGGCATAAAGACCAATCTTGTACTGACACCTGTTCCCAGCTGCTTTTCTCTCTTTTCACGAGTGCGGCCCACATCAGGAGAAATGCTCTTTGCCAGATCTTCGAGAAATTGGCAGCAGTCTGGTGTAATCTGCCCCACCGCATTGTTGAAGAGGTAAAAGGGATCTTTCTCCATGCGATCTTGAATCGACTTAAAGCCGAGTTTTCCGTAGCGGCCGGCATGTGTTTGGGCTGCATCTTTCAGATTCCCAAAATTGCTTCGGCCTGCCCTACGCTGATCAGCACGGGTACGATCAGTGACCCTCTGGGCTCGCGGCTGCTTCTCGAAGTCGATCTTGTCGAGGGAGAAGACCTTATTGGTTTTCTTGGCCGTGATTTCCATCCGGCATACCTCAGTGGCGATACGTCCATCTGACCGAGCAATCAGCCATTTGAAGCAGGACTGACACTTAGTGTACCCTCAATGTTGTTCTCCCCACAAAAATGGCATCTCACCTGCTGCATCTCGACCTTGGTGCTGATGATGTAGTCCTCCGCATTTGTAGATCTTGTGGCCAGCCCTCCCGGGCGGCTTCCTTTCCCTCGTCCTTTGCCACGACCCTTGCCTTTGCGGATCGTCTCAGCATTGGAGAGAGCTCCAAAAGAAGCCGTCTTCAGGGTGACCTTGTCCTCAAATGGTCCGTTCTGGCCTTCTCGACGTCGGACAAGTGGAGGCAACTCCTCAGGCTTGGTGGTCATCTGCATTTCGCCTGCTCGGACATGTTTGCCACTCTCAAGCTATGCCTTCAGGCTCGCCCTGGCATTTGCATAAGGGCTCACCGACAATGCCTCACTCTTTGGCGCGTTCTTCTCACGATGCTCCTTCATCTTGGCATTGTAACCCACCCGGGTGAGTTCGTAAGGACGATTGATCCAAGTGAACTCTCTGTTCACAGAATCGTACGAACAAATCAAATTTTCATTCGACACCCAGTCGGGGCTAATGATCGCCTCGTCGGTGCGGAAGAGTCTGCACCCGCTCTGAACAACGAGTTCCGTGTCGAAAGCTATAAGTAATACTGCTTTCCGGCTCGCGTTCCCGCGAGCTTCTTCCCTCCGACAGCATCGTCCCAGGGGTGCGAGGCAATGAAAAAGTTGTGCGCTCGCCCCGTTCTCTGTGGCCATCCCCCAGGAATGAGTCCGTGCTCGATGATCTTCTCCATCGCACAGCTCATGGTAAATCACTCTGGGCAGCTGCTGCATCATCTCAGGCACCAGATCAGGTCTGAGGTTGGTGCGCGGAAGTTTGACACCGTCGAGATCTTCCTTCTTGAAAAGGGGGTCCAAAGTGAACACCTGCTTGACGAGGCTCGAGATCTTGGCATTCTCGACCACCGCCCTGTTGTGTCCCTGAACCGCTCGGATCGCAACAACCTTCCACGGCAAACCCTTCCAGGTTGCATCAGGCAAGTCCTTCCGGAGGGCGTTCATTGGTCGAAGACTTGGCAACATCCGATTCTCTCTTTACATAAATCGGGACTCGATACTTTGGGTCATGATAGACAATTTCGATTCCATCATTTTCAAGAGTCTCAAGGTTTGGTGATGTAAAGGTGATCGGTGCTTTGGGGGTCGGAGGCATGCTTACACTCGGAGGTGGTGCTGCAGGTACAGCTTTGCGGGTCGGTGGAACAAATTCAAAACTCGGATGTACTGATGATGTAAAAGTCTCGGCAGTAGTAGTAGTCATGGCGGCGGTTTCAACAATCGGACTTGGACGTGCCTGGGCAAACTGGGAATCAAGCATACTCTGCAACTTCAGGTTATGTTGCATTTGGGCTTGCACCATCTGTTCAAGTTGGGTGATGCGATCATTCTGAACCCTTCTTTCTTCCTCAGCCTGCCTTTTAAGTTCAAGGATTTCTTGTTCTTTGCTGGAAAGTGACTGTCGGTGATTTGCATCAATGACACGTTGGTAGGCCTGAATTTTCTCAGCTCGGCCGCTGTTTCCACAAGGCTTGTCATGGCAGGATCATGTGAATGGAGATGCACACTCTGCTCGACAAAGTTTACCTGAGGATTATCAACATGCCACATTGTGATGAAAAGTGTTGTGAACATTCATTTGGTTCAACTGGCGAGTCGGCGGCCCACCCTCCCGAGCGGCTTGGGGAACAAATCCACGATGATTGAAACCCACATGAGAAGGCACAACTCCGTTACTCAATGGTGGTAAGTGTCGTCGTTCCCTTAAGCTTCTTGATTTGTCGGAACCGGGTGCTTATATCAATAGAGAATGGGGTGTCGCCGATAGAGAGGAAATACGCCCGGTGCCCTCGGTGGAAGAACCCGAGGGGGCAGACATTGCCTACCTAGAGAAAAGGCGTTACGGCTGATAACCTGTTTTACAGGTCAACCAACCTGAAACTATCAGCAATCGCGCTTGTTTTGCTTGAGCCATGAACACAACGTATATGATGAATTAAGCTAGTATGTACAGGGATATATACTACAAACATTCTCAACTATCAGATATCGATTAAGGGAGACACAAATCCCCTACAACAAAATTGCTGAACATCTGCAAGATTCAGAGACATGTCTCTTGAGTTGATGATTCATGAGCTGCGAACCACAAAAATACGTATTCTTAAACCAGGTGGTATCCCCAACAGCAAAGGGTGGTAGGAAAGCGGCTTGACAGCAGCCAGTCAACACATATCAACTTTCAAGCTGGCGACGGCGACATGGAACCACACACTGGACCCTCTGGAACCACACCAGAACTTCGGCAGCCACACAGAACCACCTGGGAACCTGCACCAAAACCTCCAGAACCATCGGAACCCACACCGGACCCACATCGGAACCTCTGGCCGCACTGGAACCTCCGGAAGCTCCCGGAACCAATCGGGAACCGGCACCGGAAGCCGCCCCGTCCTTTATCTGTGCTGAGACCCCTGAGCTAGCGCTGTTAGCAAGCATTTGCAAGATTTTCCACCAACAGTTCCACCATGACATCACCCTGGCCTTCTCATCGCGAGCTTTGGACGTCCATTCTCCTCCCATATGTCCCATTTGGCCAAGGAGTTTTTCGTGGCCCGCTGGAACTTTAGCTCTGGATGTCCATCATCCTCCGGTTTGGCCAAGGAGTTCTCCACAGTGGCCCGCTGGAAGATCGTCAACACGTCGGCGTCATCATCATCACAGACCTGTGGGGGATATCTCAGGGTGGCTTCCAGGAAGACTTGCGCCTTGAAGCTCTCGTTTTGCCTTGGGATATCTTGGGAGTTGCTGAGGATTTTGCATCACAATTAGTTTCAACTGTTGGGCTTAGGCCAGATCTGTCAAGATTGTTCTGATGGTTGGATTTGCTGTTGAGTTTAAAGTAGACATATCTATACATGTAGTTGAATGGGTTAGCATAAACCAGCAAGCATAAGTGGTCGGCCCACATTGTAGAAGAAAGATGGAAACTGGACATGATGAGGAAAAAAACATCATGAATCATGAGCAACAATGTATTTTTACAAAATTATACAAAATCGAAGGTTGACCCCCCAACGAATGAAAATTTAACCCACAAAACACAACACAGGTGTTTAAACCTAGAGACGGTTAACTTGATGAAATTGCTGTGAAAGCTAAAAAACGCGAAAAAAACAAAGCTAGGGTGCTGATCGATGGCCATCAACTTATCCAAATTCACTCGGACCTCAAAGTAGTAGGTGGTTTTGCCATGCTTTTTCGTCGGTGAGACCGCCATGGCTGCGCGGTCTAGGTGATTCTGCAGTTCTTCGGAAGGTGTTTTGTCGCCAGTAGCTGGAAGCCAACTGGATCATGCTCACTCAACATTTACACCCCCTACATCTAACATGGAAAGCCCCAACATGGTTTACTATCGGGTATGGCATATGGCTCTTTTGGGGCTTCCATGTTCAACTTTGGGGCTCTTCCCCATCGGATGGTCGGAAATCCATGGACCTCAATATTTTTTGGGACCTAGCCATCCAGAATGCTACTGTGGATGAGATGAGATGTGTTTGTGTTGGTTGATGAAATTCACTCAGATGGTTTAAGTTCAGACTGGCAGGAATCCTTGGATCATCTACTGTACCCTCCAAATATTTTTTGGCTCAATATGATCATGCTTAATAAGGGCTTAAGATGCCGTGGATTCTGTTCACCAATTCTGCTATTGTTGCCTTTGTTGAAGCAATTCAATACCCCCCATATGGCCCGTTTAAAACACGTCTTATTTCATGTAAAAATTATTCCCCATCTGTGTGATGGTTAAATCCATGTAATCTCCCCATCAAGTTCTGTTGGTGAACAGATAATACATCATTATGTTTCATGGTATAATCATGTATGTATAATCCCCGGTTTGGTTTTCGGATATTCGATATTTGGCTCGATATTCTGATGGGCATTGTTTATTATATAACAGTGTACTACAATGGAATTATACCATCAATCCTTAAATTCCTTTGGACATAATGTTCAAAACCCTCCATGATTATGATTATCTGTTATGATTTGATGGCTTAAATCCCAGTTATTATTGAGATTATTATCTGTTATAATTGGTTTAAGCCATTATCTGTTATGATCATCTGTTATGATTAACAATGATGATAAATAATATCTGTTATTGATTGAGGATTGATGATGAATAATTTAAAATATATGTTATGGATTATTATAAAATATTATAAAATCCTCATGGTTATTTATTATGATGGCTGAAACCATCTGAACCCCCCTGGTTTTTGGTGAAATCCCCATGGACTCTCGCCTGGAGATCATCTCTGAAAGATGTCTCCACCTTGGGCAATTGAAGGAATATTCAAGCAGCAAATGCATGGAAAAACCATGGGAAATCCATGAAAAGCCGTGGAAAACCATGATGACATGGACATATCACTATCGGAATTGGGTACAAATCCAGCTGTTGTAAACCATATATGGGGTACAAGTACCTTTCAGCAACCCAAATGGCTGGCCATCCTGTGTAATATTTAATATGCTCACCCATCCAATTTCCGAGGAACAAAATGAGTTTGAACCATAGCAAAAGGCCAACTATCTATGCCAAGATGAAAAGGCCAGAAATGGATACAGAATGATACAGAACAAACTGAACAAACCAATAGACTGTTCATTTTGGGATGCAACTGCAGGGCAGGGTCAAGTGACCACGGCCAATGCAACAGAGTGACATCCCCAACTTGAGAACCCCCACGTTGATCCCACCAATCCATCTCCCTCTCCGTGGCCCCCGGTTTGAGCCCAAAGATGGTAGGTGCGAAAAGATCTGTCACTGAAACCATGCTTCAGGGTCACATGACGCACAACTGACACCTGAGTGAAGATCCACAACCAGTACGGGATACAACATCATACAACATGATACAACATGATACAACCATGGAAATTGCAGGGATTTTGTTGTCTGGGCAATCTGCACCTGCAAAATCTGAGGTGCACCTGGAGCGATCTGAATCAAACAAGTGGACTTGAGGATGTGGTGGTGATGTCTGTGGTACTTTGGCAACATAAACCTGGTGGAGAGTCAGTGCCTTGGTCACACTCGGCTCAGCAATCTTTTCGCGCGACCACTCGCGCAAGAACATTGAAACGAACTGGGGGAACTATTTTCTCGGTGCCAGACCTGAACTAATCACATCTCCCTTGTCACTCATTGTCATCTGAACAAATCCAGCACTAAACCAGTGGTATACCCGTGCGTCTGCTGGGTGTTGATTTTTTCGAGAAGGGATGGGTTTGGCAACCACCTGAACTGAGACATATTTTCGTCTCGGCCATCATTTTGATGTGCGCCCAGGGGATTGCAGGATGGTCATAATTTTTCTGGTTCAACGCCTGAGCCGCAGCTGGAGTTCTTTCACTTGGTCATGGTTCAAGAGAACGACTCAGCAAATTGGATGGTTTCAGCAGCTACTTCACTTCGTGTGATTTCCACCTTAACAAAAACATGAACACAAATCATGAATAGATGCAAGTGCATATTAAATTCACAATAATGGCATTTATATATATATGTTGATATATACACTTTCACGGAACCAAAAATAAAGAAACAAAACATATCATGAAATCTAACATGTTTTCTGACAACATGTTTTGACACACATTCAGACATTTATACCGACAACAATCCCCACATGCATTCTGATGCGTATAGTGACACAAACTCTGACATAATTTCCGATATGTCTTCTGACATATGCTGAGATGTGTCTTGACATATATATCCTGAAAAACATCCTGGCATGTATCTGGAATAAAATCATCACATGATTTCCGCCATATACAATATGTTGACATTTATGCTCCCAAAATACTCTGCCATAAAGTCACATATATTTTTTCTGGTCTGGTATATGATACTTACTGTATTCTGACATTTATCCTGACATGCTCTGACATGACTTTCGACGTGCTGTCTGGCATCGCTGTAGAGAGTAGGCCAATGGGGCACGCAACGTCTGTGAGCTTGCTATGACGGGAGGAGAAACGAAGAGGAGGACGAAGAGAAGGATGAGTATAGCAAGGTAGGAAATCAACCATGGGTATCAACAATCCAAAGTCACACAAAACTAGGACTGGGTCGTTTGGCACAACATTCCCAAGATGCCCCCTCAGGGCCCAGCGGTGCACCGAAGACACCTACCAAATGTCATGAGATGACCGGGGTAGGGACTGGACACCACAGGTTTTGCTCAATGTTCATCGTCATCCAAGATTGCGTCTAAGGGAAGCTTGCACCAAACCCATTGAACTATAATGATAAAAACACTGAAATCTTAATTAACCATCTTCCAATATGATCAACCCATGTTGTAAGCAACATATGTTTTAGTTTGAATCCAGATAACTACCCCAAACTCATGGATCATCAGGGATCTATTGGACCACGCATTTGACTCAAAGCAACACGAACTCCACTCAATTTCCGGGTTGTTCCCACTTCCTCAGGATCCTAGATCAGCTTTAAAACAGCTACCAGCAACTGCAAGCAAACCACAACCATATGCAGTGCTTGAAAATCATTGGCTAGCGATATACAGTAACTAATAAAACCATCAAACTTTATTAAACTTAAACTATCATGATATATCAAGGTTTCACATCAGACCCTTAATACAGGCCAAAAACCAACAAACATCGAGACTATGACATCTATGAAAATTGCCCAACTAATTCCTGCTAACTGGATCCAGGTTGAAACACCATGTCTCCGTGGAAAAACAACAGGTTTGTTTAGTTTCGCTGAGATGGCTCCTGGACATTCCTTCGGTAGTGGCCCGAAGGCGCGTCAGTGGGCCTGCGCGTTGCGTTGATGAGTCAATCCAGCAGCTGGTTTCGGGATGGCATTTCCGCTCGGAAATTGCTACAATCATTCAAGCAATGCTTCACTAGTCGCGTAGGCCTCGGTAGCAGCTGGAGTTTTTTGTGTGAAAACCAGCAGTCACGATAAGGGTGAGACCTTTAAGATATCTTAATATCACCAGTTGACCAAAATCGTCTGAATCTACGGCCTTGCCTATGAGGAAGTAGCGCTTCGCGTGCTCTCTCCTGGCAGATGCTGCAAAACATGATATGAGAATCAGGAATTTTGGATGAGTCCGGACCTATCAATGAAATAGTTCATAGAACAGGCAGTCTACATTGGACCACTACTGCCACTACTGGATTGTTTTTCGAAGAAACACAATGGTCCAGTCATTTTTGTGCATCGAATCGGTTCTATCCAAGATTATGTTTAAGGGAAGCTTGCAACAAACCCATTGAACTAAATGGTAAAAGCACTAGTTTCTTAAGCATCTTCCCACGTACAATTGGATAATTAATATGATCAACCCATGTTGTAAGCAACACATGTTTTAGTTTGAATCCAGATAACTACCCCAAACTCATGGATCATCAGGGATCTATTGGACCACGCATTTGACTCAAAGCAACACGAACTTCTTGAACTCCACTCAATTTCCGGGTTCTTCCCACTTCCTCAGGATCCCATATCAGCTTTAGAACAGCTACCAGCAGCTGCAAGCAAACCACAACGATATGCAGTGCTTGAAAATCATTGGCTAACATCATATCATGGTTTCACAACGGGCCCTCAATGCAGGCCCAAAAACCAACAAACATTGAGAGAAAAAAAATTGCCCAACTAATTCCCGCTAAGCTGGGCCGCGGTTAAACACGTGTTTCCGTGGAGGAAAGAACGATTGTTCAGTTTCTCTGCGATGGCTTCTGGACCAACCTTCCTTCGGACGTGGCCCGAAGGCGCGTGAGTGGGTTTGCGCGTTGCATTGATGAGTCAAACCAGCGGCTGGTTTCGGGATGGCATTTCCGAAAACCAACATTCACGAGACCCTCCAGATCACGAGTTGACCAATGTTTCTGAATCTACGATCTGGCCTTTGAGGAAGTGGCTGGCGCTTCGCGTGCTCTCTCCTGGCACTGCAAAATCTGTATATAACATTAGATAACATAATATGGGAATCATAAATTTTGGATGAGTCCGGACCTAGCAATAAAATGATTCAGGGCAATGGCGTAAATTGAACCATTATAATATGATTACTTCTTAAGAATTTTTCAAGAACCACATTGGTCCGGTCCCTTGTTGTATTGAATCGGTTCTATCCGCGCTGAAGCTGTTGGTTTGTGGAACTCCGTCCATCATGTTTTTCCCAACCCGGAAACTCGCATGGCCCCGATCTACAATATCCATTGGTGGTGCGAAACCAGCACACCTCACCTCGTTTTGGCAATCTATGGTGCTCTGCAGATATTTGACTCGCTGTCGTGCTGCATGCAATTCTCTCTCAAGCCTCGCGGTGAAACAGGCATGTTTTCCTAAACTGTCTGGCCTGAAGGCATGCACAGCATGGGAGACCGTTGAAAATCTTCCGTGGAATTTTAGCCGCCTGTCGCGGGGTACCATTTGCTGCTACAAAAATTGTCATTACCCAGTAAGCCAACTAGCGCTCTAAATAAAATGAAGTTGTGAGGCAAACAAACTGCCCGAAACCTCTGAAAAGTTGACTTTCCAACCAACTTCAGATGCGCCGCTGGCTGGCACATCAAGCCTACAGAAACATGTCAATGGATTAAGGGCGTTCCGAACCTCGAATAATGTATAAACTGACCAGCTCCAGCATGCTCCAGCCAAAATCATCCAAAACCCTCTCTCCCCTGCATTTTGCAGTAGAGGAGAAAGTTTACGTTTCTTTAGTGATCGAAGGAGCTCAAAACTATTATATTGGGGCTGTGAGTTCTCATTTTTTATGTCGTAGATGTGCCCTGTCTTGTCAACCTTTTTTCTGTCCGGTTTGTCTTGGTTTGGCGATTGGCGTTGCTTGCACAATGCAAAGCACAGGGGTGTTGGGGTATCTCTTGAATATGTTTTCGGTCTATTTCTGGTTCTTTGGTTTTCCAGCGTGTTACATCTTTTTCCAATTTATTCCCCACCTGCCAGGTGAGGGTTGTTAGATTTTATCAGAGCGCTTGCCCGCCGCATCTTCCTCCTCCTCGTCCTCCTCCTCGACTAGCTGTCCTCCTCCTCCTCCTCCTCCTCCTCGCCTCCTCCTCCAGTTTCTCCTCGACCTTGTGTGCATCAACTTCCACCTCCACTTCCGCCTTGCCAACTCGTCGCCAAGCTCCTCGCCAACTTCCCAGCTCAGTGCGCACCGCTGGACCTCAACCTGGGAGCTCACCAGCTCAGTGCAAACCGCTGGACCTCAACCGCGGACGTTCCCAGCTCAGTGCGCACCGCTGGACCTCAACCTGGGACCTCCCCAGCTCAGTGCGCACCGCTGGACCTCAACGGCTAGATAGAATGCCAGAAGATATGCCAGATAGAAAGCTATAAGATATGCCAGATAGAATGCCAGAAGATATGCCAGATAGAATGCCAGAAGATATGCCAGATAGAATGCCAGAAGGTATGCCAGATAGAATGCCAGATAAAATGTCAGATAGAATTCCAGAAGATATGCCAGATAAAGTGCCAGAATGTTTGCCAGATAGAATGCCAGAAGATTTGCCAGATAATATGCCAGAAGATATGCCAATAGAATGCCAGATAGAATGCCGGAAGATATGCCAGAACATGTGCCAGAAGGTATGCCAGGTAGAATGCCAGAAGATATGCCAGATAGAATGCCAGAAGAATATGCCAGATAGAATGCCAGATTTGCCAGATAATATGCCAGAAGATATGCCAGATAGAATGCCAGATAGAATGCCAGAAGATATGCCAGAAGATATGCCAGATAGAATGCCAGAAGATATGCCAGAAGATATGCCAGATAGAATGCCGGATAAAATGTCAGATAGAATGCCAGAAGATTTGCCAGTCACAAAATGTATAAATGTCATGGTGGGGATCACACGAAGTAAAGTAATTTGTTTCAGCGATGCCTTTGCATATTTAGGTGTATTTGTCACAGCACCCCACAGGTCCCTCAACAGCAAACTTGGGATGCCCAGCCAACACGCTACAAAATGGTTACCCAAGGGAAACTGAATTCAAGATCCTGTGGCTACCTCCCAGCATCTCCAAGCATCTGATGATACTGATGGCATGTGTCTATTCTATCCAACAAACATCAGAGAACTAAACGTTGGGGTTTGGACCCATTTGCATCAGCTGTGGTTGCCGGGTAAGCCATGTGCCTGGAGATCTGTTCTGCGTCCGTCTCCACCTGTGACGGCACCAAAAAAAGCAACCAACAACTTGATGCGAAATCTTAGTGCATCGCTGCCCAAACAATCAGAGGCATCCTGTCGTTTTGGATTCTTTTTGCTTTGCGCAGCTGCAGTTGATCCTACAATCTGTTTCGGATTTTGCTAGAACTGCGACTTTGCCCAACCAAACGGCGATGTAATTATCACCCGGCCCTGTATGGGCCAACGATCTCGCAAAAACGGTTTACCTTCGGCCCACAATGACTAAGCTGGCATTTCTGGCAGCAGCGGGAACAGGTAACAATTGGAAGGCTGAGCTTCGGCATTGCGTGCTACTGGGACACCTCGTGCTAAGCTAGAACAACAACAATATACACCAAGTGTATCCAAGTGTGAAATTGAAACTAAACTAAAGAGTCTTGGCAAAATGTGTTGTTTTGCTCACAACAAATAATAGGCTTCCCTAAGAACTATTTCGGCCAACTTGTTTGCCACTTTGCTTGTCGTCCTTTTTTGCGCAATTTCATCAAAGTTGCTGTCTGAAATAATTTGCTTGTCTTGGCCTACACCGGATGCACCGCTGGACACTAGTTCAAACATTCAATGGATACATGTACAAAAACTACGTAATGTTCAGGGAAAAAAGTGAAGGCGGGTAAAAACACGTAAACACGCCATACTGGTCGTCTCTGCCTGGTCAAGGGTAAAAACACCGATCAACCCCGACTTGAAACCTCTGAGCCAACTGCAAAACAACCAAGACGCTGCTGGAACGCCAATGCCGCCGCATGCATCAAAAAATGCTGCACTACGGATAAAGCGTGCATTATTTTCGTGTTTCGAGAGTTTCTAGGTACCTGCAGCGACACTCTCCAAGCCAGGCCTTGTCTGAATGATATCGCGTTGGTGTCAGCGGCTCAGCAGATCTGCAAGGGCACAACTCAATCCCCCCTTCACTTTCCCCAGTCTTCAGGATCCTGCCTGGATATATTGGATATGATACAGTATCACAAGTTGGTTGTTTTGATATCGTTTGACTTTCTCTCAGCCTTTCCAGAATCCCTTCATGGCAGCCATGGTACTTCGACTGCAGGAGCTCTACCACTTTGTCAAGGCCGTCCAGCAGTTCTTTGGCGCCCATGGCCGTGGCGTACAGCTTCGAACCTGCAACCTGGACCACGGCATGACCAGCCCAGTGTCGGTGAGATACCCGTTTTATGAAGTCTTATTGAAATTTACTTTTGATCTTTTCTGGTATGTTGTAATTATATATCGTGATATTTGGTGAGATACCATGGCTTTACCCCAGTGAACTCTGGCGAAGATCACAGCACCTCACAGCATACTGCGGACTAGATGGACCAGGGTGATCCGGCGTAGAAGCTTATTCTGGCAAAGAGTATGGGCCATGAAAAAAGTGGTATGAAGCAGGTGGTGCGTGATGCAGTTGGCATGGTAACGGAGACCAGGAGCTGCAGGAGCTGCCTGATGGTTGATGGCCGCAATGCTGTCAATCCGCTTGGGCAACAAAGATCCCTGGCGTTTTTGCACATGCGAAACAAGCGCGGATCATGGGCAGACAAGGCTGGCTTCACAAAGACTTGCCAATATAGAACCTGCACCGAACCCTACCCAAGCAACAGCTGCACCTGGCAAATATTTGTGGGATAAGGAGTGGGAACAAAGTAGATGTCTTCAAGACCACGGTCAAGCAGAAGAGGATGTACCGCCTGTTGGCCACATCGTGGCTAGCAAGGCAACAAGGTGGTGTCCATATAAAAACACATAAAAATACTTTCGACACAAACCGAATCTTTGATCATCTTTGCACATCGCTTCTTGCGCGTCATCCTTTGGGGCAGGGTCTTGCTTCTTCCTGTTTACCCTCAGCTTGTCCCCCTGACCTGGCCTTGTCGGGGAAATTCAGATCTGCCATCAGCACGGTTGGGAGCTTTTCTCCCTTCACGATCTCGGCAAGGCAATCCGCAAATTCTCTTCGGGCACGCCCAAAAGGAGCGCCAGGCACATGCCTAGGCGACTGTCGGTTGGCTCAGCTGGGGCTCTCACTAAACATGACATTGGATTTCCAAGGATTCAAAAATCAAATGATATCAAAATTTCCTATCATTTCCAATGATGAGCGTGATGAACTCATTGGAAATCTGTACAGCCCAGGCACGTCGTCACCACACGCAAAGACTCTGTCTCAAGCTGGAAATGGACTTCTGTCACCACCTGACAGATTGCGAGAGGACGATGAAGCGGGTCCATCAAGGATGGTATGGGAGTTGGTTGCAATGCGGAGTCAACACGTCCGGCAAAATCCCAAAATGATTTTTCTGGAGAAAAGATGGCATAAAAGCCAAACAAACAGTCATGAAACATGGATTTCAACCAAAAAATCCGCAGCTTTGAATCTGCGCCTTCTTGGAGTTCTCTGAGAAGGGGGGATGATGGTGAACATACATCACCCTGAGCTTGGAATCGAAGACAATCACCTGCAACCAAGCTGGGATACAAACAACGCGAAACAATTGAGATAAACCCACCGGCGTCTTACAATATCCAAAACGACCAGGACTAGTGCACAGAGCACGGTAGCACAACATATATGTATGAAATTGCACAATTAGTACAGGTTGAGTAATTATATATTGGGGATGCCCAATGGGCATCTTGGAAAGTGCGCGACTTTGTGCATCTAAAGTGGGGAAGGTGCACAAGGAAAGCAGGAGGCTCACCATGACTTGCCTCCTGGTTCTTGTCCTGTTCATCCCCACTGCAGAGCATCTCAAACAGAAGGTTCTCACCCAAAGCTGCCTTCAGCTCTGCAATTAGCTCGGGCCAGCACTCTTCCAAACATAAAATGTGGATATTTGTCTTCAGCAACATCTCCTGGATCTTTTCGACGATGGTGCTTTCTCTTCTTTCTGCTTCATGCAATGTAGTAATCTGTGAGCCTTTCAATCCTTGCGTGTCTGCATCGATGTACTTGTAGTAGTTCCTATTCAGCACATTCCATGAAGCAACCTTTATGGTACGCTCGCCAAGTGTGAGTTTGGCCGCAATCGGCGGATGGTCAGAGGGAAACTGCCAGAGTTCACCAAGCCGTTTGGCCACCGGGAATTCGAAAGATCCCAACTTGCTGATGACCACCGTCTCCACGCAACTTTCCAACAAGAGCTGAGCTTTATGAAGACCTCTGCTGCAAGGTTTCTTCGTTTCTGGGTCGATTATTGGCTTCTTGAGGATGTACTTCATGGCATCTCGGATTCGCTCCAATCCGTCTTGCGCTGCCGGCTGCTCGGAATCCTCTACGCTGTGGAGGCGAGACTGCAAGCTGAGCAAACTCTGACCTAGGGGCCAGATTCTGTCGATTAATTAGACATGTTGGAGACAACGGCACGCACTAACATGTTATCAGAACTCTAGGATTGTTGATTTCAAAAACAACAAATTTACTGCAGCCGGGTGACGAACGGTACGAAGGTCATCGAGCGCATGTTCAATCACCTCTCCTCTGCCAAACTTCATCATCTTAATGAGGGTTTCGACATGGGCAGCGATCTGACATAGCTCGGCAGACCAGTGGCTAAGCAGCGGTCGTAGAGCTTCCAGCATATTGACATGCCAATCCAAATCGAAACCTCGCTGTGCCAAGTAGGCACTCCTTTCCCAGAGGCGCTTCACATATTTCATGGCGTTGGGTTCCTCACTAGAATAATTCTTCAAGTTCATCTCGATTCCCTGCAAAGAGTCTTTCTCTTTCGTGATAGGCTGGATGGGCTTCGATCCTTCAAAGTATCCAGCTCGCAGAACGTTGGTGATCTCAAAGAAACGGGGCGTTGCTTCCGAATCGTGAAAGAGGCGCACCTTCGCAAACATGTCAATCTTGGCTGTCCAAGTTTCGTGACCCTCCTCCAATGCTTTGCTGAGTGTCATAAACACTGGGGCTGCATTGGCATCCCTACACATTTCTTTTTTGCCAGCACACAGCTCTTTCTGAGACCACTTCAACCATTCCTTCTGGACTCCAGGGACGTTCTGTCTGGGATTGCTGCCGGCTTTGAGTCCTCCAATGAAGACTTGAACCTCTGAATTTCGAGCAAACAAGGCTGCAAATATCTCCTGAATTGCAGAGCAAAGCTTTGGCAACGCGTCATCTTTGCATTTGGCATCTATGACCAAATATTCTTCTAGATCTACATCACCGGGGAACTGCATGGATTTGAAGCGGAAGCTACCAGCAGGGCGGGTGTGTCTCTGGAAGGCTGTCGTTTCCACAATTGAGCGGAGGCCAAGACTTAAGTCAGGAAGAAAGCGTTCTTGCAGCAAGGCTGACAATCTGCAGAGGGAGCACGTCAGGTTGCATTGTGAGTTCAGGCAAGGTTGGAGGGCAAAGCTCCGTTCCAGTTCCAGAGTCTCTTTGTCTTTGGCACCTTTGAACCCAAAGAAGGAACTGGGATCCTTCTCTACATCAATTTCCGTTTCCGGATCGAATCCCAGGATGTCATTCAGCAAGACTCTCTTCACCTCTTGCGCAAGCGCGCAGTTGGCTTTCTGGTCGTTGCCCCTGACTAGAATACGCAGCAAACTTTTGTCGTTGGGTGCACTGACTGGAAATAGTGATACAAAGACCGAATGAGTATCAGAGTGAAGATCGCCTCGATTTCGGAAAACCTGGGGTGGTCCTGGTTTCTTGCACATCGATAAGCTTTCAAGGTTGATATTGCGATAAATCAGATGTGCCAAGGCCGGAAAGAAATTCGGCGACAGCAAACCACCCACATCCAAATACAAGACTTCATCTGTCTCTCGAATTGCCTCTTCAGCACAGTGTGCCACAGGTAAACAGCTCGGCAGCACAAATTCATCTTGAACAAGTCGTCCACACATCAGGTCGTTCCTGAGCAAGACCTCTTGAAGTAGCTGCTGGCTCGCCTCATCAAAGTCCTGGTGTTCGACCGAAATGTCTGACTCACTTTGCATCAATAGCGCTCGAAGATGGAACTTGAAAATGCAAGTTGAAGATGTGAGCGGCCCTGAAAACCAATCTTCTTTGACATGTCATAAGGATTTACTTACACATCCCCTTCCACGTTGCTTACGCGGACCCAGTCCCAGCTTACGCAGCAACAAATTCGTGTTAAGCTGATGCCAACATATGCTAACCCGTTACTCGCCTTAAGCCACTAAGGATTTTGCTTGTGCCAAAGTATCTTTATGACAGGGTCCCAATTAAAGCCATACTAAAAGGCGTTTTGCGTCGCTGCAAAAACAAAGCTCCAAAAATGAGTCAGCTATCAAAATAAAATTTAAATGTCATCAACAAAAAAATAATTTCCCATCAAAAAACAATTAAACTCATCAAAAAAAATATTCCCTCATATCCTGGCCTGCGCAAGCCAAACGCAAAATACAAGCATCATGAAATCCGTGCATTGCATCATCAAAAAAAATATGTTTAAATTATTTTTTGATGATTTAATTTTTTTTGGGTGGTCATCGGTAAAACATTTATTACTATCAGAAAAAATATATTAAAAAAGGAATATACTTGGGAGGGACGGTTGGGTGGGCTTGGTCGACGCCGACATGTACGAGTCATCGCACAAGGAACACGTATTGGTTCGCAAGCTGTTCAATAACGAGGCACTGGGCCAAACAACATTGAATCCAATGGGCTACAAAAACCATTCTTTCCATCATGTTTTCCAGGCACGGGTGGGTGGGCCTGCTGTATACGGAAGCTTGCACAACAACGCACGGCTACGCGATGAAGTATGCTTGAAAAAGGCCAATAGGTCAAGCCTGGCGCCAGAAGCCAAAACCCGAAAGCAGAAGCTAGAACAGAACCGGCACAAGCCGGGGGCGGAAATGTCCATAGGAGGAAGTAGTGATTATTTGGGCCACCGGGCCACCAGTTCCAGGCCCCCACACAGCAATGGTCAGCTGCCATCCCCATTTTGACTTGCAAAGGTGTATGTCTACTATGCTGGAATGGACGCAATGTAGGTGGGCCTTATCATGACACATTCATTCGCAATGTGGGTGGGCCTTATCATCCACCTTTCTGGCGTTGTCACAAGCCGCGGCCAAGGCTTTAAAATAAAAAGGCGGGGGGAGGGCGCAGCGCCTCCCCCCGCAAAGCGTCACATGAGTGGTGTCTACAGGATTACTCTATACCTCCCTTGAGCCTTGACAGCGTATATAAATATGCTCAATACTCATGCAGTACCCACGTAGGATTCAAGTTAGATAGATAGATAGATAGATAGACAGATAGATAGATAGATAGGTAGATAGATAGATAGATAGACAGACAGATAAATAGATAGATAGACAGATAGATTAGATAGATAGATAGTTAGATAGGCAGATAGATAGATAGGTAGATAGATAGATAGGTAGATAGATAGACAGACAGATAAATAGATAGATAGACAAATAGATAGTTAGATAGGCAGATAGATAGATAGGTAGATAGATAGATAGGTAGATAGATAGATAGATAGGTAGATAGGTATGATAAGAAAGAGAGAAAGAAAGAAACATAGATAGATAGGTAGATAGATAGGACAAGAAAGAAAGATAGATAGATAAGATAGGATACGCTAAAATACATAGATAGGAAAAGAAAGATAGGATAAGATAAGACTAGATAAGAAAGACCGATAGGATAAGACAGGATAAGATAGGAAAAACATGGTAAAATAGGATAAGATAGGACAAGATAGGATAAAATAGGATAATATAGGATAAGATAGGATAAACTAGGATAAGATAGGATATGATAAGATAGAAAAATAGGATAAGATATGATAAAATAGGAGAAAATAGGATAAATAGGACTAGATACGATAAAATAGGATAAGATAGAATAAAAAGGAAAAGATAGGATAAGATAGGGTAAGATAGGAAAAGATAGGGTAAGATAGGGTAAGATAGAGTGAGATAGGGTAAGATAGATAGAAAGACAAATAGATAGATAGAAAGATAGATAGATTGATTGATTGATTGATTGATTGAGATATAGATATAGACATAGACGTAGGTGTAGATGTGGAGCCGAAGGAGCGATAAGAGCGAAAAGCCACAGGAGCCGAAGGAGCCATAGGAGCCGAAGAAGCCAGAGGAGCCATGTACCAAAGAAGCTAAAAGACAAGCAGCCAGAAGCCAAAAAGCCAAGAAGCCACGAAGCCACCAGGAGCCACCAGGGACACAGGAGCCGAAGGAGCCACAGAAGCCAGGAGCCACACAGGGAACCATAGGAGCCACCAGGAACCAAGGAGAAAAAGAAAAGAAACAAATTAAATTACCCTCCCTCATTTTTTGGGGGGTCCTCAAAGCTCCAAAAATGAGTCAGCTATCAAAATAAAATTTAAAAGTCATCAACAAAAAAATTAATTTCCCATCAAAAAACAATTAAACTCATCAAAAAAAAATATTCCCTCATATCCTGGCCTGCGCAAGCCAAACGCAAAATACTAGCATCATGAAATCTGTGCATTGCATCATCAAAAAAAATATGTTTAAATTATTTTTTGATGATTTAATTTTTTGGGGGGGTCATCGGTAAAACATTTATTACTATCAGAAAAAGTATATTAAAAAAGGAATATACTTGAGAGGGACGGTTGGGTGGGCTTGGTCGACGCCGACATGTACGAGTCATCGCACAAGGAACACGTATTGGTTCGCAAGCTGTTCAATAACGAGGCACTGGGCCAAACAACATTGAATCCAATGGGCTACAAAAACCATTCTTTCCATCATGTTTTCCAGGCACGGGTGGGTGGGCCTGCTGTATACGGAAGCTTGCACAACAACGCACGGCTACGCAATGAAGTATGCTTGAAAAAGGCCAAAGAGCCAAAAGCCAAATGGCCAGAGGCCAATAGGTCAAGCCTGGCGCTAAAACCCAGAGGCTAGAAGCCAGAAGCCAAAAGCCAGAAGCCAAAACCCGAAAGCAGAAGCTAGAACAGAACCGGCACAAGCCGGGGGCGGAAATGTCCATAGGAGGAAGTAGTGATTATTTGGGCCACCGGGCCACCAGTTCCAGGCCCCCACACAGCAATGGTCAGCTGCCATCCCCATTTTGACTTGCAAAGGTGTATGTCTACTATGCTGGAATGGACGCAATGTAGGTGGGCCTTATCATGACACATTCATTCGCAATGTGGGTGGGCCTTATCATCCACCTTTCTGGCGTTGTCACAAGCCGCGGCCAAGGCTTTAAAATAAAAAGGCGGGGGGAGGGCGCAGCGCCTCCCCCCGCAAAGCGTCACATGAGTGGTGTCTACAGGATTACTCTATACCTCCCTTGAGCCTTGACAGCGTATATAAATATGCTCAATACTCATGCAGTACCCACGTAGGATTCAAGTTAGATAGATAGATAGACAGATAGATAGATAGATAGATAGGTAGATAGATAGATAGACAGACAGATAAATAGATAGGTAGACAGATAGATAGATAGATAGATAGCTAGATAGGCAGATAGATAGATAGGTAGATAGATAGGTAGGTAGATAGACAGACAGATAAATAGATAGATAGACAAATAGATAGTTAGATAGGCAGATAGATTGAGAATCGGGGATTGTCAGCCCGATTATATCTTGGTAGTTTGTGTTGGAATAGTCGATCCAGTGACAACGTTACAAGGGCAGCTGCTTCCGCATTGCTGATCTTTTCTCCAGTGCTGCAGTGGGTCTTGAGCCAAAGAGGCCGGTTATGAATGCCCCTTTGGTGTTGGATCCTAGAGTGCATGATTGTGCAATTATACATTGATCCGTAGCCTACACTCTATTCGCACCCCCCACGCATAGCCAACTTTGTTGGCTACGCGCAAAGGAGTGTCCTTTGAATTGATCCATTACACTCGCAGCTGTTCATTTATTGAATTATGGAGAGTTAAAGTCCGTTCAGAACTTCTAATCTACATGGCGGCTTGCTACGATCTCTACCAAAAGACTAAGGTTCTGTTCACGTGCATGTAGACACGACGTAGTCGGTGTCTAGCATTGAGGTTCATCCGATGTGGCGTAGTCAGCATGGAATCCCACTCAAGCAAGTGAATTAAAAATCAAAACACAAAGATGACTCTGGAACTAGAATTTTACCTTCCCGTTCCTTTGTCGGCTGAGACGTAGACCGCTGTAGAAACTCAGCGTCTCATGCAATGACGTTCAAAAAAAATGTGTGTTCTAAATTAGCCGGCTCAGAGTCCTCTCAGAAATCATTCAAAATGAAGTAGAGGTAAATCTTGAGCAATGATTGCATGCCGCTTCGCCAGGTTCAATCAGGACCTATGCAGAGGTCAGATCGCTTTATCATCTATATCCCCATCCATAGTATCCCTGTTGGTTCCAGTCTCCGCCACGGTGTGAATAAGATTTTCCACCTTTTCCTTGGTCTTTTCCACCCTTCTTTGGCGGTGTCACTGGAGCTTGCTTTGGCGGAGGAGCGGTTTCAACTGTTCTCCAAGTTGCTGATGACGATGCTTTCGCTTTTGACACTCTGCCCAGTGCTGGTGCTGCCTTCGGGGCTGCTTTTGATTTGCCAGCGGCTGGGTTGGTATGTTCACGATCAGCAGGAGTCGGGGTATCAGCAATTGCAAGTATGTGGACGTCAGTCATGTGAATGCCCCACCTTGGTCGTTGATCGTCTCGCTGCTTGACGTGGTTGTAGTCATCGATTGCATCATACAGCCTTTTGAGTAGAGGGCGTGGTAATTGTCGGCCATTCTGAAGGATCAGGTGCAAAAGTGATATTCTTCGAAGTGGGGGACGAAGAGCACACACAATGTCAACTGGGTTCAGTGTGATTGTGTCTTGAAAGTCGACGTTCCTGAAGAAATAAACGGCATTCACCCTGTATGCACCTGCAATGATTCTTCTGACCATGACATCTTGTCGGTCAAGGGCTTCGCGGGCCGCTGTGGTCTT